ATACTAAATCAAATAATAAAACTAAAAATAAAATAAAAGAAAAATAAAGAAATAGAAAATTATAGGCGTGACAGTATCAATATGAGGTTACTTTTTTGATTTTTTATGCTTTTAAGTTAGATATAACTATAACAATTTATATTTCACAGATCACATCCAGAAGCTACTTGAGGTTCAGTTTTATATACATCTTGTGCAAGTATCTTCTTAAAGTATAATTTACTAGCCTCATAGAGAAAAAGAATTTTTTTAATACTTGTTTCACTAATCTCTAGCATATTTTCAAATAAAAAATGTGTTTTAGAATGTGGACAATTAAAAGCTAATAATAATTTTGAAACTAAAGACCACAGTAAATCTTTATATAACTTAATTGTATGATTACTTTAAATCATTACAATGTTATCAATATACTCTGCAAGAAGTATTGATAAATAATTTTTTTCACTCTGAACTGCTTGAATTTTTGATATCATAGTCTGCTAATCAATAAGATTACTAGTAATATTTTGTTTAGTATATTTTATACTATACGTTTCAAGTGCTTCGTTAAATACAAGATAATATCCTTCTCTTATAAGATTTACTGAGCATACTATTTGTAATAATTTTTGTAGCTGTGAGTTACTGTAAACTTGATCCAAGAAATATATTACAGAGCTTGCATACTTAAACTTTCTAGCTGCAGAAAAGAGAGATGCAAACACAGCTAAATTTGCTATTTGTATTTCATAATTTCCTTTTCTAATTCTGATTTTGTGATCTATAAAATACTCTGTTTAGTGAAAAAAGAGAAGCCATACTTTTATTAAGTCATTATTATTACTCAAAATATTACTTATAATTATTTGTCTATTTTTAGTATATTGATATAGTAAAATCCCAACTATGATCTAGATTAACTTTAAAACTTAACATGTTGCTTGATAATTTATTACATTTTCAAACTTGTCTAAAAATTGTATTTTAAGAGTTACTACAAGGTTAAATATTTCATATCTAAAGAATACTGTAATTATAGTACAGCACATATCTTTAAACATGTGCCATTATCCTAAAAGAAGTCAAACATTATCGTGAGTTTCTTTATAGAAAATTAATCATCTAAAAATTGCTTGATCACATGCAATATATAAATAGTTGTTACTACTACAAAGTAAATCATCATAGTACATTTTGTATACTGCATGAACATTATTATTACAATTAGATAGATTATCAAGTTTTAATATTATGACATTTGGTAGTGAGATATTACAACCAATATATATTTGTTTAATAATTTCTGAATATATATTTTCATATTAAAGTCATTTATATGAGTTTCTAATATTCTATTAAAAATAGTTTCATACATTACTAGAAGGTTGTTAGTAGCTAAAAATTCTCCAAATAGCAGTTAATCGATAGCTTTGTAGTTTTTATATAAATCAAAAAAGATAGATAAAGTAAACTGAGAAACTATTTATAGTGTTGTATGAGAAGTTTCTCTAGTAATATCAAAAATATTGCTATATTAAAATGTAGAAGTTTTGAAATCAACATTATCAATTATGACCAAATTCCAAATATTAGATTCTTTAATTAAATTTTTTCTAGGATCTACATTTAGCATTCTGAATTTTTCAAGTCAATTTTCATATCATTTAGTATACGAGATAATGAATACTAAATGAAGAATCTCTTATAAATTTGGTAACAAATTTAGCTTTTAGCATAATGATGATATGATATATAAAAGCCAAATTTTTGTTCTAGGAAAAGCAATTGTAAGTAATATAGAAGTCATTAAAGTAGTAGTTTTTAATATCTAGTTTGTGTTATATGATTTTAGAAGAAGACTACATTGAAGCCTTTTAGTATTAATAACTTTTAGTTTATATTAATAGAGTACTATGAAAAGTATTTGAAAAAAACTATAAATAACATTAGGCAATACATCAAAATAGTTTTTATACAAGTTTAGGTTTTCTAACTGATCAATATTTTTTTTAATTTCAGAACGTGAATATAAGACTTTATTTCCAAATTTTTCTTCTATTATCAAAACCTTTACTGAAGTTATATGAGACTTTCCTTTGGTTAAGTTATTCAATTCAATATTCTTTAATCTTATTATTATTTTAACAAGTAGCTTGCTTGAAATTTCTGATGAGTTTATTATTATATTATTAAAAACAGATACAAATATTTTGAATAAAAGTTGTTTTTGATCAACTCTTCCTGTTGATCCTCTGACCACTTTTTTTATAAAAATCCGACCTGTGAAAAAATCTTTTCTGCTATAACAGATAACAATATTCTTCTCTTAGGCTTTCTACGACGTATTGTAGGTGAATAACTCTCTTGTATGAGCTCTTTTTAGCTGCGTTATCTGGATATAACTCCCAGACACTATAGAAAAGTAGTGGATACAAGAAAAATTGTCAAATACCTCTGTTGTTCTAAGTGATGCTTACTAGTAGTTTGCTAGTATGGGGATAGCTAGTTTAATAAGTATTTGTACTGTTTTAGCAAGAAAATAAGTAGCAAAATCTTACTCTCCTAGAAGTAGACTCCTCCGATATCGTCTTTTGGATTTTTTCTCTAACTAGTTGGTGTTTTTTGGGGGATTTGGCTTACCCCCTTTAAAAGATCTGCAACATGCATCAACAAAAACAATTGGATAGTAGCCTGTTGTTTCTCATGCCATAAACAAACAACAAACACGTGTTAGGCCAAACACATGCTATAGGAAACCTGAGTTGTTGATATTCTCTCTGTAATACAGCACTATACTCTCTTAAGAATTTAAAGAATAACTTTAGTATTATATATACACAATTTTTACACTGTTCCGAGAGGAATATTAGACTCTTTTTGTTTTTGTTTTTGTTGTTTAAAGGTTTTTACCTGTTAGCAGATTTCCTTTATTCAACTTTATTATATGACATGTGACCTTTGTATCTTTCATTATATATTAAAATTTTTATTTTCCTTTTCGTTGCCTACTCATTTTGGATCAGATTGGCACAGGATAGGAGGTGAACAAGAGGTTTTTGACTAGGCTGTCAACAAGCTGTCAAGGATTTGGATTTGTTCTGTATGCCTTACATGGAAACTTTCAAGAAGTAAATTGTTAGCAGGTCAATCGTACTTAGAGCCCCTAGAAGTATCTGAGTGAGTCGTAAACAAAAATTCAATGTGTTGGCATAATTTAGGAAGCTTTATTAGACTAGTATTAGATATGAAGATATGATATAAGAATTGTCCAGCATATTATATTATACTTAGGTATTTTGTAGCATGTTTATATTGTATCACTAGTTTTAAATTGAATAAAATATGAGCGGCAAGATCCTCTCGTTAAAGGAAAAAAAATAAAAGTTGTTTTTGTAGCTCTTGATTATTTGATTCTACTACTGATGTTAACTATTTTCTGATAAGCCTTAAAGACTCTCTTGTATTATTGTGATATTTTTTAAGTTCAGCATATAATATAAATGCTGTAGCTTTTTTTGTTTACTTGATCTTTTATATAGATATCTATAGTGCTGCTGAAAACATTCTGAGCAGATATAACATGTATAAAAACTCGAATACAACTTGTATGAAACAGATCCTTCAGTAAATACAAGATATTTATAAATACTAATACAAGGTACTTGAATATTATATCCATTAATACTTCATAAATATATTTCACAGTAATCTCTATAGCTAAAAAAACATATTTTCTTTTTACAAAAAAGACAAATATAAAAATGAAGAATACTTTTTCTAATTGAATATAATTGTTTCATACCTATTTCATGAAGTCAATTCTGATCAAAAATAAAATAGGTATAGTATACACCAAGTTGATCAAGTATATTTTCATCATCTTTCTATATCTCTACTATTTGTTAAAATTACTACAAATTTAACATGCTATTATCTTGAATATTTTTAACTATATCTGCATCTATTTCTTACATTCCTACTATTTGTCAAAGTCATCATAGATTTGTTGTACTATTACAGCATTTTACCTGGCTATTAATAATATCTACAACTATATATAGTGTTGGACTTTTCATAGAAGTGTCTTCAATTTCTATATCTATTTCATCAGGCATTGTTAAGAAGAACTTACTGTAAATATTTAAATTTTCAAGTTCAAGTTCATCATAGTTAATATCTTCTATTTTATCACTATCATTTAGTATGATCTGAGTATTTTCAAGAATAACTTGATCTACGATGAAAGTATCATCTTTATAACTTTCTTTAGAAATATCTATTTCATCACTATTATCTAGTATAATTTGAGTATTTTCAAGAATAATTTGGTCAATAATGAAAGTATCTTATTCATATCCTTCAATATAAGTGAATTCAGATTTAGACATTTTTTTAAAATTATTATTTTTCACAAACAATTATTATATATTTTATATAAGAATATTATAGTTTAAACAATATACTTTGATCAGATTACTTTATTATGAAGTTAAGAGTTTATGTTTTAACAAGAACTGATATCTTGAGAGATAAGACATATTTATATCTTTTATTTTTTATTTATTTTTATAGTATTATTTTATATTAATAATTACATACTCAATTAATATGACAAGTAAAAAATATGATGATTCTATTAAGGTTTTAGATTAGTTATTTCAAAGAAAATAGATTAAAGCCAATGATTATACAATAATATCGATTTTAGATTAATTTTACTTCTTAATTATAAAATAGTTTTACTGCATAAAATGAGTTTTATTAGGCTAGATATTTTGAAATGCAAAACTATAGCTAAATATAATAAGAGAATTATATTTTTTAAAATTGAAACATTTTGCTAGTATAAATAGTTTCATCAGACTAAATACTTTATTAAAGAAAAAGATTATATGATGTATTAACTAGCAGACAAATTTTAATTAAATAAACTGAAAATATTTGTGTAATTTTTATTTATTTAATATAAAATGAATTATTTAAATACATTTTTCTATTCTATTATTATGCCTTTAAATATTATATTTTTGTCAATTACAATTAGTATTCTTGGAGTTCTCATAAGAACACTATTATAAATTTGTGACAGTCTAAATTTTTTACTATTTACTATTAATAGTTTTAAGAACAGTAAAATAATAATAGTGTTCTCATAAATCTACAGTAAATGGCTATATAGCATTGTCATACTAAGCTAGAGATTGATAAAAATAAATAACTGATAATAATAATTTTGATACAAAGTAGTTGTATTAAATTCGATAAACTAGATACTATTTTAAAGATATCCATTTGCTAACATATGAGAATAAATAACTACTAATTCACAATTACTTTGATTATTATATTTGCTTTTTTTTTTTTTTTTTTATTGATTTTTTTGTAAACACAAAACAACAATTTGAGAACACTAATTATTATTATATTGTTCTTATAAGAACAGTATTTGAATCTGAAATTTCAAATACTGATTACAATATCTTGATTATAAGTTAGACTCAGAAATGCTATGCAATTAGTGTAATATAATGATTCAATTTTTTGAAGGTTTGATTTTTAAATTTGAATTTCATAACTTGACAATAAAGTATAAACAAATAAAAATAAGGCAATTTCTATTTGTATACTATGTGTATATATACATAGTAACACAAAATATAAGAAAAGCCAATTAAAAATTAGGATCTGATGTAACATATAGCATAATGAAAACAAAGAAAAAAAATCAATATTTGACAATATCTCAAAAATTTGCTTATGAAACTGCTTTTGCAGCTCTAACCAAAAAAATTTATTGCTAAATTTTGCATATATATAACACTTTGCTAAAATATCAAGCCTCACCCTAACTCTAAAGCTAAAAAAATTGTTTTTTTTTAATAATCAATTTGTTTTTTTTTATCATATGTGTACATACACTATGTGTAATTTAACAAATTTTCTAAAAATAAATATATAAAATTTAACTTATTAATTTATTTCACATAGTAAAAAAAAATATAGCAACTAAAAGCTTACTATAATAAAACTAGTTTGTTCATAAACTTCTGCTTCTAACAAGTTTTCCTTGACTATTAAATCTATTAATTGCTATTATTATTTCTAATTCTAATAGCAATTATAGATAATATACCTGAATTCATACTGAGTTAGAGATAGTTTAGATCATATTGCATTAAAATAAATATGATAATAAATTGTTATATTATAAAATAAAAAAATAATAAAATTAAAAAATACTTAGCTAAAAATACTAATAGCAAACTCCTAGCTAATATAGAATACTATAGCAGATAGTATTAGTCCACTCATGCTATTCTTTATACTTTTTTGAGGCTTTTTATAATCCTATCAGTAAAATCTGCTGCTAGTAAATTATAAAGGTCTTGTAATATTAATACTAGTTCTAAATTGACTAACCCTAAATCTAATTTAAATTAACATGATTAGTAGATTAGTTGTTGGCTTTAATTTTGTTAGTGTATGTCATTTCTATTTAATCAACAAACTTATGAAAATAGCCTAATTCTTGCTGTTATACATATTATACTACAAGATCTATATTATAACTAGTCAGGTAATTTGTAGCTCTTCAACTTCACATAAGATAAAATCTAAGTTTATACATTCTTGCTGAAATAGTTTAACAATCAGTAGTTGTCAAAAGTGTGAGTTATGCAAATTGGTAAGAACTAAATTAGGCTCTGAATAGATCTATATTTATTGTAGGAGTTAGAATGCTCAAGCTTCATATGAAGATTTTCAGCAATCTAGAAAAAATTAAAAGTTAAGTTTTTTATAATTTTATAATAAAGTATTTTCATATATTTTTGATCTAAAAGCTATAGATGTTTTGTTTTATAAACATGAGGTTGTCATAAAAAGAACTTTTATGAGTTTGAAATTTTGATATAAAAATTAGATGATTAACATTTAATTTATTATATGAATTATATTTTGAACCCTATAAATAGATATGTTCAATAACTGATAAAGCAAGTTTGCTTTTATTGGTTAAAAAAAATAATTGATATTTATGTTAATACTGTAATTTAAATACACGAAATTGAATAATTTGATTAGCTAATAAATAATAAAGGTATTATTACTATTAATATATTGCAATTGAAACTTTTCTCAAAAAAAAAAAATTGTTTTTAAAAATTCTTTTAAATATATGAAAAAACTATTATTCTAGATAATTTTAAAAAATTAATTCATTTATTAAAATTCTTTTTTTTTTTTTACAATAATTGCAAAAAATGAAGACCTGTATTTAGTACAAAATTGTGATACAAAACTAGGTCAGTTTTGTAAATTTACAGTACTAGCATACAAAAAAGCTCAAAAAAAAGAGATCTATATCTCTTATGCCTATCTAACAATTAAAAATCAATTGTGTCATAGATATTATTTGGATGTCGTTGCCTGATAGAAATCAGAAAATAGAGAGTCCTAAATCATTAGAAATAGAAAAAGAAAATATAATTAGAATAAATAATAAAAGTACAAAAATAAATAATAATAATAATATAATATTTGATGAGCAGATCAGAAGACTCATAATACTTTTACATAAAAAGCATTGTGAGTCTTCTGAACTAGAATTTGATCATAATTATTTTCAACAAATGATTAAAAAGATGAATTCATGTTTAAAAGGTTTTTTTGACCAAATGGTAGAGGCATTAATTTCTAAAAATAGATTAAAATATAATAAACTAGAAGTGAGAAAATTAGTTATAAGTTTATATTACATAATAGCAGGAATGAGAAACAAATTCATTAATGATTTCAAATTAAAAGTCAGATTATACTTGTTAGCTTCAGAAATATCATATATAGCAATTGATATGATGTACAAAAACTCTTTCCGACATTTTTTTTCCAAAATTCAGAAAAGCAAAAAAACAAAAATTTTATTGTGGATGATGAAGAAGTTCCTTTTACAACATAACGGTTTTTACAGAGGTCAACTAGACTTGCTACTAGGGACTCTTTTGTATATTTAACATGCAAGCTAAAAGTAATATTATACAAGATAACTGGCAGGTGGAGCCCTTGTATAGAAAATTTTAGTAAAGAGACAAAAAAGAGCTCTTTGTTAATGAAGTTGGTAAAAGAAGACTTAAGAATAGGGGACCATAAATTATTTTGTCTACACACTCCTTTGGGCTTCAAAAAACAATATTCTACTACAAGCTTTTCCCTCCCAGTCTTCCTCTTTTTTTCGATGAAAGTGGGGAATCTAAGTTCCCCTTACAAAAGATCAGCATTGTTTACTCCTTCTATTTTCGGAAATACTCTGTGGATATGCAACCTCATGCAGTAAACAAAGTCACATACTTTGTTTGTTGTTGTGTCTGTAACGTGATCTTGATGCTATAGGATTTAATTTTCTAAAATGGACTTTACATTATTAAGAGAATTATTCAAGATAGGTTATAAGTTGCACAACTTAAAATTTTTAAGCCTGACCCAGGTTATAGGGTATTTGGTTATCTTTTTTCTATTCTCTGTTTTTTGTTCTATATTAGTTTTTTTTACCTGTAGCAGGTTTTTCTAGTATAAATTTCGTTATAGACTGTGACCACTTAGGTCTATACAATTTTAATCTTTTTATATCTTGAGACTAGGTACTAACTTCTCTTTACTTAGTTCTGACTAGGTAAAGAGAGACCTAGGATCTTGATATATGGCTAGGAGTTGCCTTTGTTGATCAGATTCTAGGTGTCTGTATATACAGACTAAGGTTTTCGTGAGAAAATGGCTCTTGCAGCAGATTGAACTTAGGCACCCTTGAGGCAGCCGAGTTAGTCCTGATTAGTCTAGAGAGAACAGATTAGTATAGTTTTATATATTAGATTGTTTTTTGCTTATTGTAAGCTTTCTCTTAATAAATGACAGGCAAGATCACTCAAGATATAAAAAAAAAAAATAAAAAAAAAAATAATAAGGATTATTTAACTAATCTAGATCTTTGTTTTAAAAATATTGCTTGTTTTAAATAATTAATTAATACTATTCAATATAATAGGCTAATTGTGATAACAGATAATATCAAGCTGAAGCTAAAACTAAAATATAACTCTACACTTAGATATATTACTAAATCAGTTCTTTCAAAAGAAGAGACAAACATAAACATTTACTCAGATATTCTAAAAGTAATTGCAAAAATTAAATCATTAAATAGAATTGCTAAATCTGTTCATGTATATCTTTTACAGATATGATATATGAGTCTTTGTTTTAAAAATAACTTATGCTATATCTGCTATTCTGTTTCATATATTGTTGCTATAATGATATTTATAAAAGATCTTAGCAGCCTTTCAATTGCTTAGCTTTTCCATTTAGGTATAGCTATTAAATTGCTAGATATTATCTCTGATATGTTGAGACTTATATATTTTTTCATTCCTTCCTTAGCTAACCTGTTTGCTTAGTTATTCCATTTGTCTCTGCTATGACCTTTAACTTTATGCAGTACCAAGTTTAGATCTTTCACCTTGCAACAACTTTGAATTTAGCTTATTATACTTCTGTTTTTTAACTTAAACTAGCTTCATATATTATTATTTGAATTATCTCTTTTTAGGGCTTCTATTGCAGCTTTGCTATTTGTAAAAATATATACTTTGGTTTTATATAGTGCTGTAAAAAGAGCTGACCAGATCGCTTCTAGCTCAACACGTGTTGAGGAAGGCCAATTCTCTAGACTATTGCTAAAACTAATATTTCTATCTACTATATCCTTTTCTCTGACTATCCATCCTATATTCATTCTATTTGCGTTCTCCTTTTTACTATCACTTTCTAATGCTTTATCTGTATAGTACTCTATTACTTTTCTCTCTTTTAATCTTTCATATGCTTCTAGCAAATCTTTTTTTAAGTACTCTTTTCTTATTAAGTTTTGAATGATTACAGATTCAATGCTGTTCACTACAATTTCTATGCATAGCTCTTGTCTGAAACTACTATCTTTTACTATTTCTTTGAATTCTATATATACTATCATAGGTGCCTCTAGTAGTAGGTCTCTCTATTCTTTTTTTTGTATATTTACTACTTGGTACTATTCTTCGTAATTAATACTAATTATACAATCATTATTATTAAAGCTTTTTAGATTACATCTATTATACTTAGTAAAAGCCTAGCTTCCCACAACATTCTTATTTTCTTTCCAATGTGTTGCTATTAATCTTTTCTTAGTTTTTCTTATAGTTTTGCTTAAGTGTAAATTTCTTTCTTTCTTGAATATGAACTATTCTTTCTTTCTTCTGTCTTCTGATATTTTTTTTGGTCATAATTTGCTTGCACTTCTATTAGTCCTTTTAACTCTGTATATATCATATACTTCTTTTGAGTCTTTTCTTTTCAGAGTTTTTTCTTCTAGTTTTGTGAACTAGCTTAGTGTATATCCTTTCTTTTTAATGCTTCTTATATATTTTAATTATTACTAAGTTAACAGCAGGCTTCCTGAGTAGTCTATTAGCTATTTGAGAGTAAAAAGGTTCATTTTGTCTGAGTTTATGAAGGCTTGTACCTCTTTGTTGCTCAACAAATTTGTAATTTTGAGACCTTTTATATTTAGTAAACTTAAGTCTTCAAATAGTTCTTTTATCTTGATGTCTAGTTTAGCTGCTTCCTAAAGTATTTTTAAAGCTAAATTATGCTTAAGTGCTGTTTTGTTAGGTTTACAAATCTTACTTATCAAGCTGTTTAAGTATTTTTTTTGTAGCTGCTCTTCTTTAATTCTTAGTCTAGTGGTTTTTCCCAATATTTCCTACTAGTTTATACATATAGTTAGTTCTATAAAGTGATGCATAAGTTGGTTTTGCCAAATTGATCTTAGACCTATGAAGCTAATATAACTACAAATAGAGTCTGCTGTAGACCTTGCTAACTCTAATTTGTTCTTAATTAAAATCCAAATCAGTCTTTGCAAATCATTACAGATAGCTTTGCTAAGATATTGTTTGTAGCCTGTATTTGATACTTAGTAGAAGCATACTATTGTTCAAATATATTAGCTGACTTGCAGATGTTTTCTTCTATTTAATTGCTTTGCATATTCTGCTAACTTTATTTCTTATTATACTTAAGTTCAGGTTTGGCTTTCTTTTGCTTATGA